TTCTCTTTTGTGTGCCTTTTGTATTATCGCACAGCAACTTCCTGATTTTCACTGTAGTACTTATTGGAACCTACCTCTTGAAATTTGACAAAAGCAGGTAGGACAGAGATTATGTTTTCTTGTTCCACGTTAAAAGGCTCTGCCTCCTTAAGAAAACTGCCAGTCATTAACATTTTAAAAATGTTAAATCTGGCAGTCATTAACATTTTAAAACTTGCTACTCATAATTCATCAGCTCTCAAAGTACTCAGTAGAGGGCAGTGCTTACACAATACATATACGTTCTAACCAAGTGTTATTTACTTAGCACTTTTGAAGTATCAACTAATTCATTGCCGTAACACAGGTAAAGTAGATTATAGTATTACTTTTTGAAAGATGAAGACTGAGGAGGCTGAAGTTACTTGTCCAAGGCCACAGAGGTTGTCAGTGTCAGAAAGAGAACAGGATCCGACCAAAATCCATTTCTGGAAGCAGTTGATTGAAATGGGAACTTAATACATACAGCTTCTAGGAAGACAAAGTCCTAAGTGTTTCAAGTCCTGCAGTTCTTGCACAAAGCTATTCTCTGAAACAACCCTTTATTCTTGGTCTCTCAAGCACATTGGGCAAAATGCTACTATCACATCAGTATATCTGTAGTGACTTCAGTCATATTTCTTCAGTGTATTCAGCTTCTAACTGACTGTGTGCATGCATCCCTTATCATTTCAACTTACCACAGAAACCTCACAGGCCACAATTAGCTGGGGACAGGACCCTCTGCTGCCTTACACCTTGCATAGTCATTTTCATGGGCTGCCTAAGAGCTTTCCCACAATGTAGCTTTTCTTCAGAAACTGACAGCTTGTCCACCATGTATGCCTTTTTAGTGATTTTCTAGTTTGAGTCATTCATGGGGTTGAGGGTGGGGGACACTGAAATATCCTACTTTGACATTTTCCAAATGAGATTTTATTGCTGGCTCGAAATGCTTTCTTGTTTCTGAAAAATATTACACCCTAGTAAAAAGAGGGGTTGAAAAAGTTGAAAGCAGAATAAAACTGAAATTGTAGAAACAAAATGTTCCAGTTCAACATGAGTCAAAATATATCTGGGGAGTTACCATTCTGATGGTTAGATCCTTTTAGAAACCCCAAATCCATTTGTAAATACCCATTCCCTATCTTAATTTGATGACTGAGGGAGAAGGGTATGAAATGCAAGCCAGAATATTCTGTTCAAAAGCCCTGTAGGTCCCATTCTTCACTCTGCATGGAACACCTTGTTTTGACTTCACAAATTCTCTCAGGTATGTTCTTTCCCAACACAAGAGACTGTATGCATTGAGTTTCCTGACATAGGATCACGTCTGAGGAGTTTTCACGACAGGTTATTCTGCTGGGCAAATAGTGTCACCAAGTAAAGAAGGGCCACAAAACGTGTGACATGTCAGTCTTCCTGGAAGGGAATTTGAGGTGGAAGCCAGTTGTGAGTCTTATGTACTGTGAGTGAGACCCGAGAGGCCCATTTTATAATTGCAGTAACCAGAAGAGCTAATTAATGACTTAATGGGGTGATTTAGTTCTATGAGATTTATACAACAGTGTTTCTAAGAAAGAGTACGATGTTAGGAAATCTTTGCTCTTAAGTGCAAGGTAAGAATCTACTGGATTTTTTTCACTAGACAGAATTTTTGCGCAAAGAACTCTGATACCTCAGTCGCTCAAGCTGAAGTGCTAGATCCAAGGTTTTCAAAAATTACAAATTATTGGGGGGATTCTTGGTTTTGCTCCCATAAAAACAGCTGACACTGAATTTACATGGCAAAGCTGGGCATCCAATGCCCTGGAGACACCCTAGACCATCACTTGCAGCTGCTGCTTCAGAACAGTGTGGATCTTCTGTGGGTCCTGTGCTATAGGGGTTTATCTCAGATACCTTAAGGCATCTCAAGTAGGTCTAAACATCAGTTTGGGTGGCCAGCTAAATTAAGCCCACACTGTTTTTCCTGAACACTACCAAGAAATAAAAATCTTCAAAGACATCCTGAGATGGACATATGAAACAGAGGCATACCAAAGCAGAGGCACTCAGAATTACTACATTCCACTTGAAAAATCTTAGCGCTTGCACAGATTCAGCTGTCAACACTGTATGTTTCTTACTGCTGGGACTAAGAGCTGCTAGCATGATAACAAGGAAGTGTATGAACAAGAGAGATGTCATGGTTACAGAAAGAAAGCTTGATGACGACAGCATAACCACAGAGGAGTTTTGTATGTTGCCCAGAGGCAGCCTGGCACTTAGTTGTTTTCTTTAGCACCAACAGTCTGGTTTAGCAGCTCATCAGAGAAAACACAAGAGCTAGACAGCGTGATCCAAAAACAAAATACCAAAGGGGTATTTTTTTAACCTCAGTTTCTTCTGCTTTATCACATACATAACCACAGCACATTTTTGCATCTTCTTTGCAGGTTCCCAGGAGAGCAGCTGCTTTACTGTAGTGTAAGCTTTCTTACTATCCTGGTACTTTTAGCTTCTGTCTGCCCATCTCTCTTCTCTTTCAGAACTACATCCTTCCCACATGTTATGAATATACCAACTTCTGTCAATCCTTTCTAACAGACAGTCTAGAACAAGTCTTCATCCTGAGTCATCTCTCAGGCTTGATTTTTGGGTCATGTTTATGATGCTTTTCTCTTTTCTTCTAATTTTGCAAGTTTTAATGGTCAGAAAATTTTATCAATCACATGCCTCACAGTGCATAATGTATTCTGATATCTCCACAGTTGTATAATTATTATGTGAGTTAACTCCAAATAGGCTTAAAAAATATTATGAGTTAATATGGGGTTTCTTGTTGTGATCTCCTTCTCTTCTGTGGCGCTCATACAATTTCAAGGAAGTCACTGGAATTTCGTTATTACATGTGAGAGGTGTATCTTGGTATGTAGCACATCACCAGGGTAATAAAACTGTTCACAGTCTGACTGATTCCTTCAAAGTGATACCACATTTTCAGGTTTGGATGAATGTGTGTGCTTATACTCACACACACCTGATGTCCACTGTGTCCCTCAGTGGGATCTCTGCATACGCAGATGAGATTTTCTACATAGTTACCTAATCTGCATATAACCTAACAATTGTCTACTTTGACACGAAAAAGCAAATTTGTCTGCAAGCCATTTTGGCCGATTCTGAAAATATGTTCTACTGCTGTACTACATTTTCAGGCCTACTTGTTATCCCTGCACGGCTACTGCCAAGACAGAGAGCAGATTTGTTACTTGCTCAGCCAACTACTTGGCGATTCTCTATAGGTAACAGCTTCCCAAGTGCTGCAAAGCTGCTGTACTGATTCTACAAAGCCATCTTCTCCGGAGAGTCATGTACCACAGCATGGCACAGGGAGAATAGCAGTGTATGAATGTATGGGTTAGTGCAAGGCTACTCCAAAATAAGCCAAAGAACTAGATGGTCTTTCTGCTAACTATGGATACAAAGACTACAACATATACTGCCGAGGCTCCTGTGGCCAGTATAGTTCACCCATGGTCCTTTGTTATAACTATGGTAGGTAGACACAGCATTTTGTCATTACCTCAGCTATTCTGGTGAGGAATTTCAGAGCCAAGTTTCCTAGTACACATGTCAAAGAATTTTATGATAAACCACATCTCGCACATGTGTCCAGTTTTGCATCCCGTGCTGAACTTAGTTGCGGAGAAGTAGCTGATCAGCGGTACTGAAACTAATAGCTCTGTGCACTTTATAATTAAGGGAACTGTTTATTTTTACCTAGAGTACAGGGGAACCAAAAAATACCTCAGAGGTTATTTTAATAGAGGCACTGTTATCATTCATGTGGTCTGAAGACCCACAAAGGACTAACAGAGGCAAGGTTTACGATCCCAAGTATTTAGTTGAATCAGTGGATGAAACAGCTTGTCATGAGCTCTTACCTCTGTGTGTATGGGCAGTCTGGATATATGTATAATTCAGCAGTGCCCTATTTTACGCTGTCAATATAGAACAGTACTGATGATAGTCTGTGAATAATTTTGTGCCGCAAAAAAACCGTTACATTAGGGGTTTAGATTGTTTTATTTTTAGTCTTTGTGGATTATCTCTCTGAATTCATACTAGCACATTCTTCGTTTATTTTTTGTTTAATTTTGTCCATCTCTGCTTCATCTTGCAGCAATTGCTATCAAAACTTTCTGTTGTGTTACCTCAGATAAGTAGAATTCTTTCCTCCATCTCTTTAAGGAATTTTCTTTTTGAATTTCACATTAAAACTTAATATCAGAATTAACAAAAGACTTTAGTTTTCCAAGATGTGGCACATACTGTCTCAGTCCACTAGTGTACTCAAGCTGGAATTTAAGTTGATGTGTCTAAGCAGGGTTAATAATATTACACATACATGTAAATACATTCTTAATAAATTCTAGGGTAAATTTAAGGAATTTTAGAATCATTTGGGAAATCATTTGTGTTTTAGGCCATGAGAAATCATACCTGTTGGCCTAAAGCCTGGTACCTAAATTCCATATTTGAAGCTGAAACCTAAATATGGCTAAATCTGTATCACATTTTTAAAGAATATTTCCTTGCTTTTTGTGCTCTATGCGAACTCTGTGAAAAAAATTCTCATTTTTTCTTTGAGATTAAATGTTGCTTGTAATCATGAATATCATACAGATATTAAACCTAAACAACTGGAGGGAGAAAAAAAAAAAATCAATAAAGAACATACTTTTGCTATGTCTAACCAAAGATTTTGGGTCAGATCATCAGCTAGATCATCATAAAGTTGTTTTGCTGATCTTAAAGAAGCTATGCCAGTTCATACATTCTGAGGACTAATCATTAGACTATGAAGAGTTTTTGCCCCATCCATCTTTGATAAACAGTAGCTGTTTTAGAACTGATCTGTAAGTCATATTTCAAGCCTATAGTCATTTAATTTACCCTTTGTCCACCCCCATCCCCCCTTTAACTTTTTCCTTTAGCACTCCAGATATCCCTGGATACACTGGCAAGGTTCATTGGTCAGCAACTCACCCAGCAAATTCTAATCTTCCATCAACAACCCCATCAATAATTGCATGAATGCATGGGTAGGTATGAGGTATATTTCTCAGTTTGTTCAGAAAGATTACAGGGAAAATCCTAATTGCATTTATTTAGTTAAAGAACAATTAAATATTAAGCATGAAATTCCATTGGCTTAAAAATTACAGAACAGTTGGGGTTGGATCCTACCACATTATTGTCATGCTAATCTGAAATCCTTTTGAGGTTTTAGAATTTTTCTGGAACATCGTAAAGTATGTATTGGGAAGGTACCTTAACAGTGAGGTGAATCATGCTTTCTAAATGTGGATTATTTCTACAGTAAGAATTTTTTTCTTTAGCTACAGTTGCTAAGTCATGATTTAAGTCACTTTTTTTTTTTTTTTTATTGATTGATCTGTGTGTGTTTTGAAAGAGGCCCATAAATGTCAAAGTTAAAAATTCCCAAAAGAAAGCTGTGTGGTGGTGTGTTTCCAAATTGGTGTTGACAGACTTATGAAATAGGTATTTGCTATACAAAAATAATCGTTAAAAAGGGGTGGATTTACTTAAAGGCAGTGAGAGGCAAAATCATGCCATGCCTTGACACCAATGCAGCCCAGGACCCTGTGACTATGAAATCATCGTAGCCCCATATCACTATTGTGGCTACCTCATGAAGTGAATTAGTAATCTTTATTCTCTCTTACTCTTTCATACAAGTCTTGTTGAAACTATGGGCCAGTAAAAGTATTTAGGTGCCTAACTCATGTTGGTTTCAAAAGAGCTGGACATTTTCCTTCTGTTAGTACAATTAACTTCTGATATTGGCAAAGGACCTTTCTCCCAGTAGCTTCAGAATAGCTTAATAACTATGTTTCCCCTCTCTCCTTTATCATTTTGTGCTTTAGATTCTGATCTCTTGTTATCCATAATGATCTAGGACATGGTGACACTATCCCAAGTTTCCATGTTTTCCTGAGAAATTTATCTTCCATTAAACTGTTTAATTGGCCTTGGGATTCTGTTTACAACACATCACACTTCTTTTTCAGCACTGCCGGTGAAAAGTATCCAGAAAAGGCTTGAGGAGCTTTAGGGAGCTGCCTGGCTTTTAAAGAATTCACCTTGTCAAGTGTTTTATCGTTGTGCAAAATGCACCGACTTCCATTTCTGCTGCTCTCCATCCCTTCACTACTGCTCTTTTTCTCTTGTGGTTATACTTAGAAAATAGACAGTCACCTGTAGTCACAGTTTGCTGTTGACAGGGAATGAAAAGATGCAAGAGTCCTGAGTCTTGGTAGGCTAAATAAAGCTGAACTCGGAGCAGCCTGATGCAAGACTAACTTGCTTGTGAATGTCACAGACAAATAAAAAAGTAAATGCATCTTAGCAAAGATCATTGACAGACTTCAGACAGATACCAGATTTCAAGAACAAAAACAGTCACCACTGTGATCTAGGAAAGGAAAACACATCTGTTACTTCCTTTTACTTTATACAGGTGTTCCTGTCAGTGTAGTTCATAGTGGATGAATTTTCTTAGTTTTTAGTGGACAGCAAGAACAGGGTTCTCGTTCTGTGCTAATGGATACTTTCCAGAACAAGGACAGAATCCCCTGACTTTTTTGAAGAAGGGTGTGTAGGAAACAGATAACAAGCATAGTCATACCCAGACGTTGTAGACCAGGTTTTACCACTCTTTTTCTGAGCTGAGTGGTGCATTCCCCAAGGATAGTACTCCTGGTTGCAAAACTGTATCAGTCCTATTGTACTTTCTCTGAGCCTACTTGTGGAGTAAGATAGTGTTCACTGACTTAAGATGGAGTAGCATAGCCCTCTGTGAAACTACTATGTGAAACTAATAGGGATGCTGGGAATCTCCCCCCAACATTAGTTAGTGATGCCCACAAAAGAGAGATACTTAATTCCTTGCCTTTGTAAAATAAATGATAAAAAGTCTTGCTGATTTCGGTGGTCACAGGTCAAGCTAGACTATAGTGGAGAGGTGAAGAGAAGAGAGATTGTTCCTGGAATTTGAGGTCACACTACCCCAATTCACCTCTGCATGCTTTTCATGTAGGACGTGATCTCATTCTTACTGTTTTTAAAATGCTGACCCTTTTTTTCTCTCTTTGATCATTCTCAAGCTATGACTGTAATAATTTCTCAGAAAGTAGCAAGTGATTGCATGTGGTGGATGTTTTTATAGCTGCTTTATTTGACATGTCTACAATATACGGTCAGTCTCCTGAAGACAATTATGGGTATCAGAGGGAGTCTCTTGTCTACTGCTAACATGGTCTAATAAATGTTCCTGTCAAAAGTATCAGCAATAGCAGATAGGCCAGGCAGCATGCAACCCCTTCTGCACTGTATTTCTATTGCATGGAACTTCCACAGCATGTGGGGCAAAATCCTTTATACCTGTTTTAAGCATTCTGAACTCAACAGGACTGTATGGGATATAGACCAGAAGAAATACGGTTTCTTCATCTTTGAATATGAATACTATTTTTATATGTCAGGCTCTATTGATGTATTTTTATTGTATTTTTATTTCCAGGTAATCCCAACGTGAAGTCAGAAAATTAGGTTTCAAAGTCCTTTTAGTGCAATTAAAATCTGGCAGCATTGTTTAGCTTTTGCATAGGAAGGAATTTTTTTGTGTCGTTTTGTGTCTTGGTTTGTGTTTAAATGAACTGTCCATTGCTACCCAGAAAACACAAGTCCATTGGCACCATGAGTCGTTTGGAAATTCATTGGCCTCACCATAGTTAATGTAAGATAGTGATAGATTTATTTTGATTTATCGAGAGAAGTGTTGCGCCCTTTCAGCAAGTTGCTTTAGACATTTCAAAAGGGATCTTTAGGTCAAAAGGAAATATTTTTTGTTTGGAGATTGAGTGAACATAAGATTCTGTAGTCAGTTCTGTGTCAGCCCTGCTTTTGATTAGATTCTGTGCAGCAGAGGGGCCATGCTAACTTAGGTTGTAGGTATAAAATTATTTATAGTGCCTCTTCCTGTAAAAGATTAGAAGAGTATCAGAAGTCTAGCATAAATTGCTCCTTCCCAGACTGTCCCCAGCATATTTTCTAATGCCCATCCCAGTATTCCATGCCACGAGGACTGGGTGTCTAAAGCAGGCACACTGTGCAAGTCAGCAAAGTGTTTTTTCTAGGCTTGCAAGCCAAACCTCCAGCATCACCTCCAGGCACCACAGGGCCTTATGTGCTTGAGTGCCTTCAGCATGCTCATGGCAGTTCTCCACAGATTGTGTGTGCAGGTTAGTTGTGAGGCAGCTGTGGGTGTCCAAGAAAGGCTGAAAAGAGGCAAGAGGCAGAACATACCTCTCTTGCAGCTGCTGTAGGGATCTGTCTTTCCACATGTTACATATATCCAGAAAGTAAGATTTAAAACTGTTAGGAAGATTTGCCACCATTGTTCTTAAGGGAGCTGATTCTAATACTATGGAATATGGCAAATTGTTAATATTCTCTGAGGCCAATGGGCATAACTGTTTATGAAGAAAGCAGTGAGAGGGAAGAAGAGGGAATGTTTAGCAATATGAGAAAACATTTTAAAAGTATTTTTTTCTCCGTCTTTGTGTGACTGCCCATACATAGCAAAACATGGAAGCTCGTCTCAGTATGATCACCAGGGACCTTATTCTCAAATGGTGACTCTAGTGAGTCCTCAGAATTCTTTCAACAAGACAGAATAAGAAACTATTACAGTTTAGAAAGTGTCAATCCTTTTTACCTGCATAACTGAGAGCCTCGGTGTCTGACAGTGAGGAGGAAGGAAATGTGTGAAGATGTGTGGATGCTTTAAATACGGAACAAAAATAAAATAACATAGAAGTGGGTGTTTGTGGTAGTCCTTATTACATTATTCTCATATTTATGACTTACTAGCGTTGACAGTTAAAACCATATTAAAAACAAGAGGAGTCGTAAGTCAAAGGCTTGAAACTTTTCTCTGTACTGGATTGCCTTGTTAACTAAGGTAAGATGGGGTAACTGTTCCATCCATTGACAGAAACATTTTATGTGTGTATAAGTATATACACATACACACATGTGGACACACATATGTAAATGTATTATTAACTAAGAAATCATTACAGAGCAGCAGCCCTTCTCACCAGCTGTCCTCAGTGTGCCTTGCAAAGACGGTTAAATGTCAGAGTGAGATTTCAATCTTTGCCTGTACTGGCTCTGTGTGTAGCAGTGAATAAAAGGAGAACATTCTCTGGTCTGGAGGCTAATTAAGACTGTGTGGCTTGCATCCACGCTTAAACTCTTTTATGCTTAAACTGAAAACAGTTAAATAAGGAAGATGGAGGTCCAGTATTTAAGCCTTTGTCTTGGCACTGTTTTATTTTCTGATGTTGGTGTAGACAATGTGAGGAAGTTGCATCCCTGAGAAAGAGAAGACCAAATGTGAATTTGTAGGTCAGGGAGTTCTGCTGTGCTCCAGGGGCCAAAATAGTCCAGACAGTTAATTCTAGTTTGGACAACCTCGCGGCTTGCTCAGAAGTTTCTGACCTGAGGTCTCTTGTATTATCCAAATCATCTGTATTCCTGCTCTGTTACCTCTCCTGCTTGCGTTTCTCCAATACAGGCTTTCTCCAGGCTTTTGAGGTATGTATGTGTGTAACATGTTTGTAAGAAATAGCTTTCCCATAGCCACTTAAGGGCTTTCTGTGAAGGATTATAAAGTGCACCAGTGGCGAAAAGCCTTTTCAAGAGCAGACTGAAGACTCCTTGGAAATATTGAAAGGTAGGGAACATAAACCATGGAGCCAGAAGACCGCAAATCCGCAGAAAGAGCTATCATCCCTTAACAAAGGGGTTAAATCCTCAGCAACAATAATGGGAACTGAGCATCCAAATCCCTGACATCATTGCTGAGCAAATCTCAGTCATAGAGGATATACAAGTCCCTAGGGAATGTGAGATGACAGCTAAGCAAGACAAGCACTGACGCCAAGGTATACTATTTCTCCTAATAAGACTGTAGCAGAAAGATTCCAGTTCTTGAAATGCCTGACCTAACACAGAAACTATATCACTTCTAGCTTTCTGTATTTTCATCGTGCACAGATCACTGATACCAGATTTTTTAAAAGAGATTCTCTTGTCTAATCTGTTTCTTTGTATGCTTTAAATTAGAACTTACAAGTACATGTGCAAAATTAAAGCATATGTACAGGAAGGATGCAACCTGACTTTGCCTTTTGTGCTTCTCCATTTTGGAGCTATGCATGTACACAAGTCAGTGAATATTTTAGATAAAAACATAGTCTCTTGCAAATTTGGCTTATTATGTCCTATTGAATTATTATGTGCCATATACAAATATTTGCAAGTTTGTTACTGGCTACAAAGGCTATGTTGTTATATACTTGAGAAGGATTCCGATCTTTCAGAGCCCCAACTCTGCAGTGCAGAGAGAATGATCTGACTTTGGGTAAGAATATAGGAACTGTCTTTGCGCAATGCCATGCAGCATCACAGACTCTATCTTGAACAGAAACTTAAATTCCAGTCAAACTAGGAGATGAAAACAGATTACATTTTAAACCAGCAATGGGCTGAGAGCATTGACTGCAAAGACAGATGCCATCGCTTCAGTAAGTTCAGATTGGTTGCTTTATGTATAAAAAACTTTTGCACATGGCATAATTAAAGCAGAACAGTCTAAGGAGATGGGAACTACATTTAAAATGGGGCAGGTTCTCAGCTGGGTGACTCAGCATAGTTTTCTTTGACTTTACACATTGGTTAAGAGCCAGAATCTCTACATCTAATGAGTGAAAGCTGTGTATTAGAAATCCTCTAGATACATCAAAATTATAAAAAAAAATGTAAGGATGATTTACACTTCTCCATACTGCTAGATCAAGCTGGGGAAATTTATAAAAAAAGTAAACAGTGGGGAGGAAAGGTATCTTTTAAAGTCAGTTTCTCATTACTTTCAGTTTCTCTGAAAACTTGAACAAAGAGCAACAAGCTCTTGGGCTTAAAGAGCAAATGAGAGGGAAATACTTGTGTCCAAACTATAAAGAAATCATTTCACTTAAAATAAACTGATTAAAACAACAAAAAGCATGTTTTCAAACTGTTTTTCCCATTCAGAAGTTCTTATGATTTTAACAAATTGTATTTTCATCCTAAAATTATAAGATAGTATTCCTTAAATCCCTGAGGGGCAATTTTCATGTATTGACACAAAAGAACTTACAAAAGTAATAATTAAAAAATAAGTATGTGACACATTCAATATAAGGCCTATTCCTGTTTCTACTAGCTGCAATAACATTTCTCTTAGTAGTGAAGACAGAAGAAGATTCTTGCCATCATGTCAATCCTATAAATAGCACCACTTGATTTAATCTGAACCCTTCTAGAATCATGTGATTCATGGTACAGTGAACTGGTTATTGCTATTTTAAAATTTTCTGACTCTTCCACACTATCCTAAAGAGAAATAAAGCCCCACCCTAGAATATCCTTTCACTTGATACTGTGGCATGTGATATAAAGTGTATTATATGAAGTATATGAAAGAGAGTTGCTATTAAAGAATCTCAGTTTTGCCTCCAGATGGAAACCAGTGAACAAATACTTTAGCTCATGGGACAACTTCTGCTTTCCATCTGTTAAACGCCTTGCTGAATCATAGATGTTGTTAATCTATGCACGGTGTTCATAAAGCAGTCAAATTTCAAGTCACTAAAAATCATTTTTGGATCTGTTCCTTTGAGTTATGGCATCGACACCTAGATGAACAGGAACAGAGTTGGCTTCCGGTGTGTAGTAAAACCACTGAAAAACAATGCTGCCGTGAGAGAAATGGTTTCCTGGGTAGAATTTAGTTGGTTTTCCTTCTACAGTCGTCTAAAGGCTTCAGAAAGTAGAGTCTTCTAAAGCAGAGCATTTACATCACACAAAAAGTCACTACATTTGCAGCTTGTTTCACGGAATTTCTCTTTATAACCAGCGGGCTTTGGAAGTTAAATGATTTGAAGTAATTTTGTATAAAGTAGTTTTTAGCATAGTGACTGTGCTTTTAATATGATCACTTCAATGTAAACAGTAAATAAACATGTCAAACTATTCTATTTCTTTCTAAATATCACTAAATAATATCTATATATTTTTGTATGCATAGCCACTAAACCTCTTCAAATACATTTTTACATTATGTGGAATGGATTGATCATAAAGAAACATTTTGACATGGAAAAATAGGCTACAATAGAACAATTATTATAACTCTAACTAAAGTTCAAATTTTTTAGACTAGATTCTTTTCCCTCTTGCTTCTTTCAGAAATACGCATTTTTAAAAATTGGTTTCTTTTGATTTGTTTGTTATTTTATTCCTAATGCTTCTCATCTGCCATCTAGTAAAGGTCATAGAAATATTAATGTACTTCCAAAGCAAAAGGACCAAAAAGCTTTGCTTTCAACATAGCTTACAGTATGGGGATGCAAATTGCGAAAAATCAGTGGCCTGTATCTTCTCACAGAATTATTTAGTAATGAATATACCAAGTGAAAGAGAAATGTCTGTTGGGTAAACAATACACATAAACAACTTCATGGTAGGAAAATAATATGATATAAGAAGCTGTGGTGATCCTAGCCTGAAATCTTGAAAATGACTGGAGAAAATAAGGTACTTATAGAGGAGACAGAAACCAAAAGCATATAATAACTGGAACCTTTGTTTTGTTTCGCTGTAGATGGAAGCATTTTTTATTAATAAAGTACAATTAAAACCAGAAAAACATCATGAACAAGTAGAGAATTTGTGTTGCTTTCAGAAATTATTTGAGAGATAAAGTGTCATTTACTTGGAGAAGTTTGGCCGAGCAGAGGAGAAGACAAAGTTTAAGTGGGGTATTCCCCTCCACAGTTGGCTAAAAGCTCCTTGTTTTGAGTCTCAGCATCTCTCAGCCACTGCTGCCTTTTCCTTCCCCCCAGCAATGCGGGACTCGAGAGGCTTGGCTTACGCTTTAGAACAGGACTCTGTGTTCTCTCCAGCCCTGCAAAATGTGTATTGAGCCATCCCAGAGGAGATTGCTCCCAAAATACTGACCTATCTTGTGCTGAGGCAGGACAGCTACTTATCATTTCATCCACGGCCCATTTGTACTTAGAAAATGTAATTGCTGACTTTGTAGTAAGGAGTGAGGACACCCCTTCTGTTGCAAATATTGTTGCATGACGTTTAATGATGGTAAGAAGTCAAGACTGCGCCTCGTATCTTCTCTGGAAAACAGCAGCTCTGAGATCAGTCTGAGGAAATGCGTCTCGGTAAAGGCTGAGAAGGAAAATAACCACCCAAATCACCCCCTCATTTACTAAATTTGATTTTCATTGGGGGTTTCTCAGAGGAATAGGGACCAGGCCTAGTTGCTTATGGGACCAGACAAAGCCGTTGCTGCTGCTGTGTGCTCATTACATAGTCTCGCAATGAGCATATGTAGTAAGTTTATGACAGATATATATTCACATGTAGGCCCTAAAAGGCCTTTCAGTCTCTTAGGGTGCCTTTAGGCACCCACATTCCACTGACTGGTGGTTTCGTGCAACTTTGGAGCACCACTAACTCAGCTTCTGGGTAACATTAGAGCACCGTGAGTGGTGTTCTTTTTACCGTGGCTTACACTGCAAGCCTCTGACAGTGTCCTACCTCTGCTGCCATTAAA